AAGTGGGTAAGGGGGAAAAGGTGGTAGCATGCTAACTTTGTGCTTTCCAGAGCTGCTTTGGCTACCAGCTTGAGTTAGAGCAGCCACTCAACTACTCTAACTTAGGTTGGCATGTAAGGGCCCGCAAGGGGCCATTCTGCTGGCCAGGGAACACTGGAGAACAGCATGATTCGGCCACACACCCTCCCATGCCTAACATGCCTTCTACATTAGGAAGGCTGATGGGAGGGGCACAGCTCAGAGAAGCTATAGCATAAGCCAGAATCTGGCCCAGTATCTCCTCTCTGTCCTCATCCCGTTAGAGGCTGTTAGGAGTGAAAGTGAAGTGCTTCTCTTCTCTCTCTCTCCCTCCTTCTGTTTCTTTGTAAGGGCAGGGAGGAACCCAGCTGTCTCCAGTCCATTGAGCCAACACTCTCTGAGCTGTTGTTTGTGTTTCCGATCAGCACTGTTTGCTGTGACTGAGACTCCACCCTGGGACCTGGATTCCACAGGAGAGCGTCCCGAGCTCTGGGAGCCCTTAGGCTGGAGATCATGGTTTCTCCATGGCACAAGGTGTAATGGAAGTGGCTCCTCCTCTGAAAGTGGCTTTGCAGAATACATGTTCACTGCCCCAGAGCTGAACTCAAAATGAGTGTATTTTAAAAAAAATCATGAAGGGAATTACAAAGGTTTTTGTTTCAGGTTTCACAAGTTCCCCTGAAAGCTTGTCTGGGTTAACAGTGGGTTAATACACTAGTCCTTCCACGCTGAAGACTTGGGCTCAAGCCCTGCTTGAGTCCAAGGTGCATTTGGTGGTGCTCTCTCTCTAGACTATCCTATATGACAGGAAAATGGGAGTATTTCTGCCTATCTCATCCAAATCAGTACAATGCTGCAAGATGGAATTGCAGCACTGCTTTGCATGGGATAACATCATGTATCACACTCACAATGCAGTGCCTGAACCAGCCCTCAGGTTTTGTGGAACTTCTATCCAGTTTCCTCCTCTCATGTTCCTCCTCTCTATTTTGGAGATTTTTAAGAGCAGGTTAGACAAATACCTGTCAGGAATGGTCTAGATAATACTTAGTCCTGCCACTGGACTAGATGACCTCTCGAGGTCCCTTCCAGACCTATGATTCAATGATTCTATGTTTTATGATCACATACCCTTAAACTGCTACCTTTACTCATGCCCATATCCTGCCTATCTTTCCCTTCCTAGGCTAACTTCTCACCTGTGTGTGGGATTTCATGGTGTCTCTAGTGACCCTAACAGGGTGGACTATGGTGGGACCCATTAATGTGAAGATCCAAGCCATGCCTTGGCCCATGGACCATCAGACTTCTGGTCCAATAATTTTTTTGTTGAGGTAGGGTTGGTGGGAGGCACTGCTAGAGCATATTGAGGTCTGCCAGGGTACTGCAATAATGGCAAGGAAGAAATCCAAGAGGGCCTGAAGCAGTTTGATTTATTGTGCAGTGTCCTTTGATTTGTTTGGTGTGCTTTGGCTGGGTTGGATATGGGCTGCATTTAGGTTTAATCTGTCATTTTATCCCTCTAGTGACCATGAGCTCTGCATGGGGATGTCAGAACAATGGGTAACTGGAAACAAATTCAGCCATAATCCATCTCTCTTCAGATTTAGCCTGAGAATGGGTACCGAGTAATAGTTTAGTGCATGTATCCTGGCCAGACCAAGAGCACTCGCACAATAGCCCCAAACCCAGGTTTATTACCGGATCACCAATAATCTGAGTGGCATGAGGTGCATAGGGTCTGGGTGGATCAGTGGGGTATGCACTGAAAGAATCCTGGTCCCACCCTGCGATACCCTTAATGCATCTCAATGAGTGGAGACCTTTAGTAGTGTGACTGAACCCCATACGTTTTGGAGGTGCAGGATTGGGGCCTCCTTGATTCCACTTGTGGTTCTGGCTTGTCAGGGGTGTGTAAAAACAAGGGTTTGGCCTGACTTGTTTATTCACATTTTTACTTCTAGGTCTTGATTTTGTCACCCTTATTAAGAATGAGTAGTACCGTGCCCTTCAACTAATCCCACTAAAATGAATGGGTCTAACATGTGAAGTAAGTACTGGTTGGTGTGAGTAAAATTGGAGGCCTGCCCCTACTCCTACTGAAGTCAATGGGAGTTTCGTCATTGACATTAATGGGAGCAGCATAGTGTCCAAAAACAGGAACTTAGCCTGACTGAGTGGGAAAATAAGGACTTTTGTACCCAGAATGTGGTGGTTTAAATACAACTCTCACTCCTTCGGTGGTAGTATGTGGATTATTGCCATAATTCTTATAGTTTGGCAAGCCTGCATCAGGCTGGAACATACCTCTTGGTAGTAATATGGTCAGTCAATAGCCTTCATTATTAATCAAGCACTAATAGACAAATTAGAAACTGTGTTTTTTCAAAGCAGGAGGTAAATCACTGGTGGATTTTAACTGTTTCACTGCTTTGTCTTATTTCCTATTTTATATTGCTCCATTGAAAATGTTAGATTGGTTAAGATTAGACAAGTGATGTAAATAAGCATTATTTTAAATTTAAATTATTATCCTGATTACCAAACATGAATGGTGAATTGAAAACTTGTTTTTCTTCAAAGCAAATGAAGAATAATATTACATTTTACACTTCAGTAAATCAATGTAGCCCTAATTTTGCCATGCAGGAAATCAATTCTAGTCTTTATAACAGTCGAAGATGTTAGGAACAAAGTAATTTTGCAAATGATGGCAAGTAACACATTTATTGATGACTGTACTTTAGGAATTTAAAATTTGTGAGTACTATAATATAATATACTGCACTGGTAGGAGCTGAGTGAAATACAGATTATATGGTGAAACTGTAATGCATCATTTGCTATTAGTGGACTGGTAATAATTACCAGTTTCAAAGCAGCTTTTTCCATGTAATCTTTAGTCTCAGTCGTAACAGCCCTTCTCATTGACATTATGATTACACTAGCTGCCCTTATGATCTAGAATATCTAGTTGATGGGAATACTAAAATGTGATAGTGAAAACTGTATGTTGTATCCTCATTATAAGATAAAATGCCATTTTCTCTGACCTAATATATAAAATAGAGAAGCAGGGGTAGCATTATATTGTTAGCATACTGTAGCCTGATCATGTAGTTTGAGGTATATTGTTAAAAATTTCCACTTTATGACAGCAAAATAAATGAAATTTTCACATTTAAGTCTTTATGAGCACAGGAATATGAAAGTCCAATTGAATTTTGTTCTATTTCCAACAGATTTAAATATTTATCTATGCCTGTATTCACGGCACACGCTAAACACCGTAATGCATTTTATTCAAATGCTGGCTTCAATTGAAGAATGAAATGTTAAATATTATTCCAAGGGCTTTTTAAGTGACTAAAGTGTTAAATGCCTGCTATCAGTGGTTGAATCTCTTTTTACTCATCCAATTCAGATTGTCAGACTAAATGTATAATAATAGAGGAACCTGAAGGCACCAGGAAAAACGGCTATGGGTCACTATAGCCAGAACTATAGGCTGCCTGTCTGTCATATTCACAAATCATTATTCAATACATTATATAATGAAAATATTCTTATAAAGCTTTTTCTTTTTGTTCTTTGAAATGAGGAGGAAAACAAGAAGGTTGCTTATAAAATGATACTAATGTCGAAATTTTCTTTCCAAATCTTTCTGTCCTCCCTCCCTCCCCCTCCACATTAGGCAACTGTTTGAAACCTAATTTAGGCATCTACCATCTAATTTTGTAAAGAGGTTTTAACCACGAGTGGGTTATATTGAGTGAGATTATAAATGCATCGTCAAGTAAATTACAGGTCAGACCAGGAGTACATTATGCAGTCAAATACCATTGTAAGCCTGGCTTGTTTTTGAAGACCGTTATATTTTTGTTCCGGAGCAGACCTCAAGAGCTTTTGTTTTTAAATCACTAGCTAGCAACTCTATGAGAACTGTCAGGTTGGATTGAACATTAATTTTTGTTCTCATCTTTGTTCTAATTTCAATTTACCAACAGTTATCAGTGAAAAATACTTACTCTGGCGAAACTGGATTATTCTTAAATTTACAGCATTCAATAAAAATACACTTGCCTCCTCCAGATTTCATATGATCCCTTGCCTACCACCCTTCAGAAGTCATTCATTTTCCTTGTTTTGCAATATATTTAGTTGTGGCTGCTTTCTTGTGCCATTATTAGTTAGCTTTTTGTTTAGTTATTTATTAGTCATTTGCTCTTTTATAATGTCCGGGTTATCTCTGAAAATAAATGATCATGAATTAGAGTTAGTTTGCTACTTGCCAAAGTGGCATTTACCATCCTCAAATTCTTTTCAGGGCGAGAGAAATAATGTGACTCCAACAGGCTACTACCCAGATATTGGACTAGCTGAACTGCATCTTTCTGTTTCTTCGTCTTCCTTTTTTCTTTTTCTTTTTTTCCCCCCACTTGAAGCTGACGCTCTGCTAAGGGCATGAGATGTTGTCTAATTTTCTACACATTGTTAGTCTCTCAGAATAATGAGGAGGATGATAATCTAACATTTCTCATCTTCCTTAGCTATCGTTGCACTTTGGGCTGCTTCTTTGAACCAGTGTATATGTTTTTGCATTATACCTGTCATAAAATTATTTTTAATTATTTTTTTTTCGTTTTAAATATTAGTGAAGTAAGACCAAGGTATCTGTGGAGCCATAATTAGAATGAATTTACTGAATCATCTTTTTGATGGATCTTTAACACTGTTACCTGTTCACATACTCTTCTGTTTGTTAGGGAAAGAAAAAAGGCAGGAAGTCAGTTCAGATTTGCTATGGTTAAATGTGCAAACTCCCCTCCCCCATAACTACTCATTAGTTAGTATTCTGTTTCTCCAGTTTAGATTTAATGTTAGGGAAAAGAAAGATTAGAAAGAAAAAAACCAACAACCATCAATCATTGATAAGCAATTCAGTGATTAAACATTTATGTTGCTGTTGTATTATTTTGCAGGTAAAGATGAGCCCAGCAGCTACACGTGTACAACTTGTAAACAGCCTTTCAACAGTGCATGGTTTCTCTTGCAACACGCACAGAATACTCACGGATTAAGAATCTACTTAGAAAGCGAACATGGAAGTCCCCTGACACCGCGGGTTGGTATCCCATCAGGACTAGGTGCAGAATGTCCTTCACAGCCACCACTCCATGGGATTCATATTGCAGACAATAATCCTTTTAACTTGCTAAGAATACCTGGGTCAGTATCAAGAGAGGCTTCAGGTCTTGGAGAAGGGCGTTTTCCACCCACACCTCCTTTGTTTAGCCCTCCCCCCAGACATCATTTGGATCCACATCGCATAGAACGTCTGGGTGCAGAAGAAATGGCTCTTGCAACCCATCACCCTAGTGCCTTTGACAGGGTGCTGCGACTGAACCCCATGGCTATGGAGCCACCAGCTATGGATTTCTCCAGGAGACTTAGAGAGTTAGCTGGAAACACCTCCAGTCCACCATTGTCACCAAGCCGGCCCAGCCCTATGCAAAGGTTACTGCAGCCATTCCAGCCAGGCAGCAAGCCACCATTTCTGGCAACACCGCCCCTTCCTCCTCTTCAGTCAGCCCCTCCTCCTTCCCAGCCTCCAATAAAATCCAAGTCTTGTGAATTTTGTGGGAAAACATTCAAGTTTCAGAGTAATTTAGTAGTACACCGTAGAAGCCACACTGGAGAAAAACCCTACAAGTGCAGCCTCTGTGACCACGCATGCACTCAGGCCAGCAAGCTAAAGCGTCACATGAAAACACACATGCACAAGTCATCCCCCATGACCGTCAAGTCAGATGACGGGCTCTCCACAGCCAGCTCCCCAGAGCCTGGAACCAGTGATCTCGTCGGCAGCGCAAGTAGTGCTCTCAAATCTGTCGTGGCCAAGTTTAAGAGTGAAAATGACCCCAATATGATTCCGGAAAATGGGGATGAGGAAGAAGAAGAGGACGAGGAGGAAGAGGAAGAGGAAGAAGAGGAAGAGGAGGAGGACTTAACTGAAAATGAAAGGCCAGACTATGGCTTTGGCATTAATCTAGAAGCAGCTCGTCACCACGAAAACAACTCCAGGGTTGGTGAGGAGAACCGTTCTATGCCAGACGTCATGCAGGGGATGGTCTTGAGTTCCATGCAGCACTTCAGTGAGGCTTTTCACCAGGTCCTCGGAGAGAAACATAAACGAGGGCACCTGTCTGAATCTGAGGTACACAGAGACACTTGTGATGAAGACTCAGTAGCTGGAGAATCAGATCGCATTGACGATGGCACTGTTAATGGCAGGGGGTGCTCGCCTGGTGAATCTGCCTCTGGAGGTTTATCAAAAAAGCTGCTCTTGGGTAGCCCCAGCTCTCTGAGCCCTTTCTCAAAACGCATTAAACTTGAGAAAGAGTTTGACCTGCCTGCTACAGCTATGCCTAACACAGAAAATGTTTACTCCCAGTGGCTGGCTGGGTATGCTGCCTCTAGACAGCTAAAAGATCCATTCCTCAGCTTTGGAGACTCCAGACAATCGCCTTTTGCCTCTTCCTCAGAACACTCATCAGAAAACGGAAGTTTGCGCTTCTCCACGCCTCCAGGGGAGATGGATGGAGGGATCTCAGGCCGCAGCGGCACGGGAAGCGGAGGAAGCACCCCACATATTAGTGGCCCAGGCCCTGGAAGGCCTAGCTCAAAAGAGGGCAGACGCAGCGACACTTGTGAGTACTGTGGGAAAGTCTTCAAGAACTGTAGTAATCTCACTGTCCACAGGAGGAGCCACACAGGCGAAAGGCCGTATAAGTGTGAGCTTTGCAACTACGCCTGCGCCCAGAGTAGCAAACTCACCCGGCACATGAAAACACATGGTCAGGTGGGAAAGGACGTTTACAAATGTGAAATTTGTAAGATGCCTTTTAGCGTGTACAGTACCCTGGAGAAACACATGAAAAAATGGCACAGTGATCGAGTTTTGAATAATGATATAAAAACTGAATAGAGGTATATTAATACTCCCCTCCCCGCCCCTGGTTCCCTGTAGAGTTTTTCTAGACCTTTGTGATTAAAATAATGGAAGCTAAGGATATTAAGAAAGTGCTTGTCACCAGCACACCTGTTTATTTTCTTTTTGTTCTCACCGTTTGAATGCATGATCTGTATCGGGGCAATACTATTGCATTTTACGCAAACTTTGAGCCTTTCTCTTGTGCAATAATTTACATGTTGTGTATGTTGTTTTTTATTTTAAATTAGACAGCATGTATGGTATGTTATGGCTATTTTTAAATTGTCCCTGATTAGTTGCTGAGCAAACATGTTGCTGTTTCCAGTTCCGTTCTGAAAAAAACAAAAAACAAAGCAAAACGAAACAAAAACAAATTAAACCAACCATGCTGCATACATTCTGTAATACATATCATGTACAGTTTTGTTTTGTAACGTGCGGAGGAAAACATGCTTTGGGTAACCCTCTACGGACAGGACTGATAGCAC